ATCTGAAATTAACGTTCCATAAAAACCATGTCAACAGATACAACTTGTACAACCAGGTAACAGCATTAAATTTACATAGACTTGTGAATCTTTCCAAATAATACGTATTTTTGATCCAAGTTGTGAAAATATCAAAAGCAGTTTTTTGAACTACCCTATTGTTATTGTGTAAAGAATCGTCTTATGATGATTGTTGAGTTCCTAGTTGTGCACCGTTCCATACAATCAAGGTGAGTTGCCCCATTTAATGGTTGAAATAATTTGTTTGGTAAAATCAATTTTCTTAATATGCATTGAAGTAATATTGAGGTTGTTACTAAATTCTGACCAGCGTGCAATCATTTGAGAGTGATCGTGTGTCTGAGCGGTCCAATGCATTGGATTCGAGTTGCAGTCTCTTTGGAGACTTAAATCCTATTAGTTACCAGTTGTGCCAGTTGTCTTCATTCAGTTTTCTTTGTGTTAAAATTACTCCTGCAGTGTCATTGCCTCTGAGACAGAAGCCTATGGTTCAAATCTACATGCTTCAAAAGTATATCATAACACAGCTGGTTGGTTGCAATTATCTGCATTCATTTGAGATTGTGGTTCCTCAGTGCGGTCTTAGTGAAGAATACTTCTGGTGCTGGATTCTTTTCAGCTGTTAGTGACACCAAGATCGTGGATGGTCCTTGCCTGCTTTTACCCGGTCTGAAGCAGGCTGCTGTTGAACACCAGCCAGCCCAGGAAAGACTCCCAAAATTTTCTTACTGGGGGGTTTTATCCAAGCTTAAACTTTAGTTGACCTCTTTAGGAGTGTGGGTGAGTTTAGAGACCTACCCCTGGCCCCTGCCCTGGGGAAATTGATGAAGCTGAGGTAATAGGTCTGGCCATATGGTTTTGCTGCTATTTGTTTTATAGGCTGCCACCTTAGTTCTGATCTAAATTGGGCCACAAAAGCCCAGCCCAGAGTATCTATGCTGTAAATTTGCCAGGGATGGGGAGTTAGAGTTATGAAGAGATCGACTTGAGATATTGACCATGTTCACTGGTGGGAAACTGCTTGGAAGATTTTATAATTCTGGTCAGTTTTGACCATGATTAAGAGTGACCATTTCCTCGGTATTGTGACTCCGTGATCGGCAGTATCAATTTAAATTATCAACAAAGGAACAATTGGGAAGGTTAAAGCAATGTCTTTATGCAGGTACTTTTGAACAACAGTGGGATTAATTTAGATTGCTCTTGCAAAGGAAAGATCCAAATATGATGTTCCACAGAGCATGAATGAAATTGTATATGGTTAGGAATCTATTGAAAATTATATCGAGCCTTGGTTCCAATTGATGCATGTTATATTTGAGCCGAGTGCTGGTAAAATCTGTAGCCACAATCGAAGGTACCTCAGCCTTTACAGATCTTTAAGCAGTCATTTGGTATACAGAACTTTAGTATTCTGAGAAAACACACATTTTGTCAAAACCTTTTGTCCTTCACTCAAGAGGACAATTCTACAGAATAACAATTTAAAAGAAAACCAACACTTATACTGAATGAGAGGAGATTTGATTTATTCTTGTCTTGTACCTAAGTACAGTGCAAAGTTTTGTCTTGCGTGCAATACAGGCAGATCATAACATACAAGGATCATAGAGTGATTGAACAGAGGGAGGAATACAAAGTTAGTCTGTAAAGAAGGTGCACAAAAAGCACAATTAACACTAGATTTGGAATTTGAGAGGTCCATTTGGAAGTCTAATAACAGGGGAAGAAGCTGGTCTTGAACCTGTTGGTGCATGTGTTTAAGCTTTTGTAACTTCTGCCTGACAGAAGAGATTGTGACTGGGGTGGGAAGGTTCTTGATGTTGGCTCCCTTTCCGTGGCAACGAGAAGTGTAGATGGAGTCAGTGGTTGGAAGGTTGGCTTGCTTGATGGTATGGGCTGTGTTCACAACTTCCTGTAGTTTCTCACAGTCCTGGACAGAACAGTTGTTGCTGTACCAAACCGTGATGCAGCCAGATAGAATGGTTTCTGTGGTGCATCTGTAAAAGTTGGTGAGAGTCTTTATGGACATGCTGAATTTCCTTAGCTTCCTGAGGAAGAAGAGGCGTTGTTATGTCTTGACAGTTGCGTCAATGTGGGTGGTCCAGGACAGATTGTTGGTGATCGTCACACTTAGGAACTTGATCTTCTTGACCATCTCCACCTCATCTCCATTGCTGTAGGTAGGAGTGTGCCCTCCTCCTTGTATCCTGAAGTCAGTGACCAGCTTTTTAGCTTGACGTTGAAGGAGAAATTATATCATGTCACCAAACACTCTAGCACACAGAGTGCTGATTGATTAACATGTAGACTTTGATTAGTAGAGGTATTGCTGAGGAGAGTGTACAAGTTAACGATGAATGATAGTTAGCTGTCAATCTTTGTTTGAGTCAATCTGTCTGTCTTTAAAATTTAAAGAAATGTATACAGTTAACAGTCAAACAGAATTAGCTTCTGCACTAGCCATGGCAACACGTCTACCAATCATAGTCCACGTGTCAATCAGCATTTTCATCTCATTGCAGTTTCAATATGCCCCCTATTTGGCATTCTTGAGAATCATCCTGATGAGCCTGTGATGAAAAGATATGACAAAATGTCTTGTGTTCAGCAATGCCGAAGCTATTTAGATTCCAGCTTTAAAATTGGCTGTTTATCTGTGAAGACCAGCACAATTTATATATTAACTGTGTATGTTTGCTTTTAGGTTGCCCTGGTAGCTGTTAATATCCTTGGAGATCCAGTAGAACACAGTGAGACAAGTATAACTGTGAGTAGGAATAGATTAAATCTATAATTGATCTTGTGATTATCACACTTCTGTTGCATTACAGAACATTGCATTTTGTTGAAGATGCAAGAGAATTTCTTTTGTTCTGAAGTAATTTCATGCCAAGACCTTCTGGGTTATTACATTGCAGGTAAACAGCAGAATTCTTGGACAAAGTCTAAAGTAGCAATGCAAGTTGATTCCTGAACTTGGTTTGTTATCTGGAAAATTAGGGATGGGGGTTGTAGGAGAAGTAGGCTTGAGGTCTTAGAATTGTGCAAGGTGATATGATAAAATTGGTATTTGGTCAGAGATAGTAGGAACTGCCGATGCTGGAGAATCTGAGATAACCAGGTGTAGAGCTGGATGAACACAGCAGGCCAGGCAGCATCAGAGGAGCAGGAAAGCCGACGTTTCGGGTCTGGACTCTTCTTCAGAAACCCAGGTCTGCACCTTGTTATCTCTGGTATTTGGTCATCCTGCTTTTTGTGAGAACAGGATGATGTAAAAGAGTGCTGGAGTAAGTGGAACCCAGAATCCATCCTAGCCGTTAAAATACCTTATTGGGAAGTTATACACAGAGCTGTTAATTCTGCAGTTACGGTAGAAGCTGATGGAAGGCTTAGCATTTTCAGGTAACTAGGCCAATCACCTGCTCAAAATGTTTCAGCACTGTGAAATAGAAAGATCATTTTTCTTTAAACATTGAACAGTTTGGACAATGCCTGTAGAGAGGTGAACACAGTTAACATTTCACTTTTTTATCAGAACTGGAAGACATCTATCAACAAGCTGCTTTTCAGCAAACACATGAGAAAAAGATCAAAAGAGAAAGGCTTGTGTTGGGGTGGAGGAGGGCAAGAACGATTGCAATGCATATAGCGCTGAAAGGCAGAATGTAATTCTGAGACTTTTACAACCGTACATTACAGATGTAAGTACTTAGCCCAAAATAGAATAGAGGAAAATGCAGAGGATTGTGTCATGGGATTATGGTGGAGAAGAAAGGTGTGTAGACCTGGGCAATGTTAATCACCTTGCTGACTTTACCAATTAGGAGTCATCACCCCAAATATGAGCACAGTGGCTCTCGGAGGCATCCTCAAATACCAGAACCTGGTGTCTGAATGTGGACTAAGATTTAGAAGTATTAAGCTACGTAAACTGCTTGAAAGAAGGATGATGTGTGTTCCTTGAGCTTGCAATTGAGAGTTTCATTGTTCTAATGTGGGAGACCAAAAACGCTGTTCAAGTGTGTGAAAGAAATAGAGTTAAAGTGACAGGCAATGTTAGGATTGAACATGTAGACTTGAATCAAGACACGCAGCAAAGTGATCAGCCAAAGTGGAGGAGAGTGCATCAGGAGCATGTCACAAAGCTCTGGGGAGAAAAACAACAGACTTACAATTGTTGAATAGATTTGGTGCAAACTGTAGAATTCTTGACGGGGAAAGAGAATAACTTCTTTAAAAGCCTGTTATTGTTGATTATTTTAATGGCCTGCTAGTCTCAAGGATTATGTTTCACGTTTAAAGCTTGTTTGCAGACCTTGAATCTTTTAACTGAATTTTTATCCCCACCTTCATTTTGGTTCGGTTTGATGAGGGAATTTGTGTGTCATTCAATTTGTAGCTTTGATGAAGAATTCAGTTTTGCTGACAGCTCTACACATTGAGATAGAAACAAGGTATTCAGCATTTTTCAACATGTTTAAACCTAATCAGGAAAGATAGATCTCTACCTTTTGGAGGAATTCAGTCCTCGGGAATATTTTTCTGACCTCTATCACTATTTTTTTTTTTTTGTAGTCTTTTGCTTTACTTTGCATGTACGTAATCCACTGTATTGCATATTCTAAGTGTTTTAAATGTTGAAATATTGAGGTCACCTTAATGATTTGATACAAATGTGTTGGTGTGCAATCTTGATGGTAGTAGAAGGTGAATGAACGAAGAACTAATGTTTCTCCCCACTTGAAGTTTGATAATTTCACCCATTTGAAGTACCTAGAAACATTTTCCTTTTATTTCAAATCATAAGTGATGTAGATTACTAGTTTGTTATGGTGCACTGACTTTACTGCTTCACACTAAAGTGTCTGTATCATTGCTTGACACAGGAAAGTCAATTCCAATGTTTCCCCATTGCAGGCCGCAAAGTAACTAGCCTGTAATTTTCTGTTTTCTGCCTCCTTCGCCTTCTTGTATAGAGGTGTTATATTAGCTACTCTGCAATCAAAATAAATCATCCAGAATCCAGCAAATTTTGGCAAATTAATGCCTACACATCCATGACCTCATTAGCTGGGTCTTAAAATCCTAAGATAAAATGGATCAAGATCTGATGACTTGACGGTATGCAGCCCCAGCACCTAGACATTCAGCTTACTTTTTTAAATACCTGCAGAAACTCTTGCTATCTATTTTTGCATTTCCACCTAGCTTCCTCTCATACTCTAATTTCTTCCTTCTTATGAATCTTTTAGATGTTTTTATATTCTGTCCAGTCATCTGACCTACTATTTAACTTTGCACAATTATGTTTTTTTCCTTAAGTTTGATGCTTTCCTTAAATTATTTATTGAGCAATGGATTATGCATCCTCCTCTATCAATTTCTTTTTTGTTGTAGGGACACACACATACCTGGCTATACTTAGCTTCACTGCCTCCAGATCTGCTTACTTTTGAGGTTGGCCCCAGATCCTATCGCTTGCGCTGTTGATAGGGAATTTACGTAATAGCAGTAACTATTTTTTTCTGTTGTCTGAGGGAGGTATCGATCCCTGCCTCCTACAATAGTAAGAATTTGGTATACTTATTCTGAATTTTCTGTATCCACTTAAACGTGTCCCACAATGTATCTGTAGATCTGTTGCCTTGCCTAGTATACCAACACAAACTCAGTTTTCAAATCCCTATTTAAGTTGAAATGCTCGTCTTAGATTCTTATTCCTATCAAGCTGGATGTAAAATTCAATCATACTGCTACCTAGGGGTGTCATGGAGTCGTAAGTGTGGAAACAGGCCATTTGGCCGAACTAGTCCACACCACCCTCCGAAAAGCATCCCACCCGGACGCATTCCCCTACCCCTGCATTTCCCATGTCTAACCCACCTAATCTAAACATCCCTGGATACTGGGCAATTTAGCATCACCAATCCACCTACCCTGCACATCTTTGGACTGTAGGTGGAAACCGGAGCACCTGGAGGGAACCCATGCAGACATGGGGAGAATATGCAAACTCCACACAGACACTCGCTCGAGGGTGGAATTGAACCTGGGTCCCTGGTGCTGTGAGCCACTGTGCCACTCAGTTTACTCTGAGGTGATTAGTTAATCCTGTCGCATTACATGACGCCAAATCTAATATTCTTGTTCTCTGATTAGTTTCAGATCAGAATAGACTGCCGTCTCTACCCAAGCTTGAACCCTCACCCTATTTTTTTTTTTAGTTGCAAGCCTTGTCAAATACCCTAGTTATATCATTTGATAGAGCACTGGTTCCAGCATGGTTCAAGTGCAGACTGTCCTAATGCTTTACTCCCTACTCTGGCCATTTCAAAGGCCAATGCCCTACAACCCTGCATGTATTCTCCCACATTAGTTTTTGAGTGTTGTCCTGGCTTAACAAAGAACAATTGAGAACCACAGGACATGTGTATAAGGTGAATGTCTAAATAACCAACAGCAGTGATGTGAAAAAAACATTTTAACTCAACAAATAGTTGGGATCTGGAATATGATCTGGAGTATGATGCAGACAGATTCTGTATTGGCTTTCAAAGGGATCTGGTAACTAACTGAAGAGAATTTTCAAGACAGGGACGGGGCGATTTGAGCAGCTCTCTAAAAGAGCTGGCATTGACACAATGGCCCAAATGGCTGCTTCCTATGCTGTAACCACTCTGTGATTTAATGATTCTTAAAGGTAGTTGAACATTCCTACTTACTTCAAAAAAATTTGTTTTCTCTTTCAAGGGATAGCAATTACCTGCAGTTTATTCAAGCTTTATTGTTTGCCGTTCTGATAGTAAAAGAAGTTTTATAGTGTGCTTCTTTGTTTGGATCCTGTTATCTGATGAATACAATCATTGCCAGCAGGTGGCATTAGAACAGTTATTCTGAACTAATGTGCTGGAGTTTCTCTCAGTGGCCAACCAGAAGGTGGAACTGATGAATTTTTGTTTCTTGCTTTAAGGAAAATTGAGGTCATTGCCCAACAGTCTACTTTTTCAACACATTTGCTCTAAGTGCTGTGCCGACATGCAGATCCACCTTTCACTGACTGTGAATCCTTCAAATTCCATAAATTGTCATCTACAAATGCCTGTCTGACATCAAGTGTTGAATATTGGAGGGAAGTTCCAGGGAAGGTAATTGAAGCAGCTGAAGATGGTTAGGCCTAGGGGCTTAGATATTTGAATTCCAGCAACCACAATCATCTTCCATTGTGCTGGGTATGACTTTAAACTAGTGGATTCACCCTGCTTGGTCTATTCCAAATTCAATATTGTTAGGGCACCTTGATGCTAGTCAATTTCGCCTCACCTCTTGAGTTTGTCTCATTTGTCCATATTCATGCCAAGGCTGTGATAAGGTCAGGAGCTGACTACCTTGATGGAACCTAAGCAGAGCATCGGTGAACAGGTCTTTGTCGTATAGTTGCTTCTTGATATTGTACCTGATGGTGCTCTCTGTCACTTTGCTGTTCAATAAAGAATAGAGTGATGGGGCAGTTGTAAGTTGGATTTCCTTTCTTCTTGTGGACTTGATTAAAATGCCACCTGTAGTCACACCTATGGACCTTTTTTGAGCTAGCTGAATAATCCACTTGGCATCATTGGAAATCTTTTTCTCTGCTGAAGCAGAACTTTTTTCCTTCCATTTTATCATGTATTATTTAAATAAAAAAATTTGTGCTTGTCCATTTAAAGTGCAAGTTGGGAGAGTAATTTGCATCTAACTTCAAGCCTGTTGAGGTCATAAGATTGAGTTCAAAAATATTTTGGACTTCCTCTTTTGGTTGGCATGTAGTTTTGATCCCTGATGTGGACGAATGCACAAAGTAGATATTTGTTAGGATCTGGCTTTATTTAAAGAATAAAATGCATGGAAGAATCCAGGATTTTAAAAAAAGCTGGATTACTTGATCAATTTAAACACCAAAGAGTCTTTATGATACAAGTTTTGAACAAAACAAGCACAACCAACAAAGACCAGACATGTACACTGAAAAATAAAGATTATGATGGTAAATAATCAAATCCTCTATGTAAAGTCGATCCAATGGACTAAACACTTTTTTTCTTACAATTAGCCTTCACATCAATAGGGTTTTGAACATTTTTATGTACTTTCTCACAAGGCATGGGCAGTATTTATTACCCAACTCTAAATGTCCTTTAGAAGGTAGAGGTGAAATAATCTGGAAGGCTGTCCCCTTTTATTCTGGGTCTAGTTGAGCAGGTCACAGCTCAGGTCTGTGGTCTGTCCCTACCATTAAGCTCTTATGGTCCAAGTCTGCAATGCCTATATGATGCCTACCATGAACCACCAAATGCACGCCGACATTCCAAGGCATGTTTTCTGTAGTTAGACTTCTGTCATTAGAGCTACTCGACCTGACCCTATTCTCTCGAACTTGCTCACAAATAGAACGTTTTTTTTTAAATTCACCAGATCGTGTCTTGGCAGCTTTCTTCTGTTTACTCTTCTGAATTCCCCAAAAAACAGCCTCTGTATGGGGAAACATAAGAACATAAGAACTAGGGGCAGGAGTAGGCCATCTGGCCCCTCGAGCCTGCCCCGCCATTTAATAAGATCATGGCTGAAATGGCTGGATCTTTGAGTAATTATCTTCATGGTGACCTTATGGCTTTTTTGCTTCCAGAATTGTCTCTGCTGGGTCAAAAGTTCAAATACTTTTTATGAGCGCACAGACATGACGGAACAAACTGAAAGTAAACAACCGCTCATTACTCTTAAACTAAACCTCTACATTTATATACTCTTAACATAAGCCGCATACAAGTTGGAACTTTTTTCTTTGGAGTTTAGAAAAGTCATATGTGATTTAATTGAAAATTATAAGATCCCGAGGGGACTTGACTGTAGGATGTAGGAAGGCATTCCTCATGTGGGTGAGTCTAGATTCAGGTGTCACATTTTAAAAACAAAGGGTCACTCATTTAAGACACAGATGAGGAAAGCTTTTTTTTCCACTGAGGTTCATGAGTCTTTGGAATTCGTCAAAAAGAATGGATGCAGAATCTTTATTTTTAAGGCAGAGACTGATAGATTCTTGATTATCAAGGAAAGTAGGGTTGAAGTTAAAATCAGATTAACCATGATCTTATTGAATGGCAGAGCGGGCTTGAAGGAATGAGGGGCCCACTGTTACTTGAATCTATTTTGTACAGTAGAGTCAGTTATAATAAGAGCAATTTATGTATTTTTTTAAAAAACAGTCAATTCTAGTTACTACCCAATTACATAATTCTCCCTTGTAAAAGGGCACTGCTAATCCAGCCCAGTTTGACCTTGTTTGGCCTCTGTAAAATATCAAGGCTCAAGTCCTAAACCCTGGTGGAGTATTTAAGTTCTCTGACAGTGACTTTGGAAAGTTTGCATTTTCTAAAACTTTAGTAGTATGCATATTTCAACTCCTTGGAAATTTTATTCTCAGAACATTTGTCTGGACCCCTACCTATCTGTTACCATTATCTGGGCTACCTTGCTCAAAACTTTGAGGAACTAGATGAAATTGTAGTCTTTAAAAGTATCATTTGAAGATACTTGTAGCTCTGTATTATTGGCAGCCTTGGACTGGATCTTTGCTGAGCTGGAGAATTTTCCAGACTATGGGAGGTTGCATTTTAGGGTCAGTACAGGAGTTTTTAAATGATACTGGAGACCATTTCTGTGTGAATTTATAGCATATAATTTTTTATGCCTCCCTCACCCAGCTATAGCAATGCAGCCAATAATTTTATTGAAGAGCCCAACAAGTATGATCTGGATTATTCTCGGAAAAGAAAGTGCTTCAGTAACAAAACTGTCCAGAGGAGTATGTGCACACTTGTAACCATGTGACCTAAACTGTGTCTTTACAGGAATTGGAACCGTGATGTAGGTGCCAGCCTGGGCTGGGGAGTGCTGGATTTAGGGGGTACAACCTGTATATTCTTACAAGATGAATTTGGTAGTAAAAGAATTCTTTTTTGTAAAATTGTATTGATTGCAGGATGAAATGTACTATTTTAGTAATAAGCCACAGTTGAATTGAACTGAAGAACCTTTTGAGTAAATTTTTTTTGTCACTGAGGCTGAAATAATTGAGATAAAATGGCAGGACTACTCAGTTTTAATACAGCCTTGTTGTATAATTTAATTAAAAAAACTATATTTTTTCTCTTACAGCCCACAAAAGATAAGCTGATTGATCACTATCTTGGTCATAGCCCAAATGACCCAGCACTTGATGGGACTTATGTCAGGTAAATAGTTGTGAATGTTCTTGATTGAATGTTAAGTCTTTGGATAATAAAGCAAATAGCTGAAACACTCGGCAACTGTATCCATGTATTGCACCATGGACTGTGTACGTAGTTTCTGTGAGGAGAGCCATCTCATGAGACGTATAAACCTGTGACTTATTTTCACCAGCTGATGGCCAGTTATACAATGCCATAGGGAGTAGGGCTTCCGGTTGGTTTGAACTGCTGGTTTCCCACTAAGCGGTATGGGTTTATGGTGATAAGGCAGTGTCATTTAAGTAAATCTAGTGTAATAAAGGCAAAAACAGAAATTGCTAGAGAAACCAAGTAGGTCTGGCAGATTCTGTGGAGAGAAAGCATAGTTAGCATTTCAGGTCCAGTGACACTTTTTAGACTTGCATGTAGTTGGATAAGGTTGGTATATATGCTGAAGATGGGGTGGGGGGAAGGGGAGGAATAAACAAAAGGTGGAGGTGGAGCCTCAAGAGAGAGAACAACAGTTGAGCAGGCATGGATAATGGTCAGCCTGGAAAAATCAATAGCTGGTAATGGAAACCATTGGTAGCTAACAATAGATTGGTTGTGGTAGCAACCCATGTGATTACAAGGCCTGGTGTGTGGGGTTTGAGGACATGGAGGAAGGTGCTCGGGCCCTAAGATTATTGAGCTTGACATTGAGTCCTGAAGGCCTGCAGTGGGAAATCAAATGCTCTTCCAGCATGCACTGAGCTTTGCTGGAGCACTGCAGCAAGCCCGACCTGGACGTTGGCCAGCAAACTTCAGTGCATTCCTCCGACAAGTGATGACAAGGAGAAGGACTGTGGGGAAGGCAAATGCAATGCAGGCCAAGACACCATGGTTGTGTTGAAGTGGCAGGCAGCTGGAAACCCGGGGTCATTTTTGTGGACAGAACGTGCAAAGCAGTCACCCCTGCGTTTCATCTCTCCAGTGTAGAAGAAATCATGTTGTGAGCAGTGAATACAGTAGACCTGAATTAATTGCAGGTTAATCACTGCTTCACCTAGAAGGCAGGTCTGGGGCTTTGGATAGTGAGGAGGGAAGAAGTAAATGGGCAGGTGTTGCATCTTCTGTGTTCGGAGAAGGTGATATTTCCTTGTGTGGAGCAGTATAGAATGAGAGGTCATAGTTCTAGGATTTGGGGTAGCAGATTTAAAACAGATGGGGAAAAATTACTTCTCTCAAAGGCTCAGCAATCTTTGGAATTCACTACCCTGAACTGTGGTGCGTGCTAGGACATTAAGTAAATTTGAGGAAATAGACAGATTTTTAATTAGAAATGGGTTGAATGTTTAAGGAGTGTGGCGGGATAGTGGAGTTGAGGCTATGGTTGCATTAAATAGTGGAGCATGCTTGATAGGCTGAATCGTCTACTCATGTTCTGATGTTGTGGATTCTTCCCCTTGTGTTAGTCATTTAAAACCTTTGCTATTTTCCTGTTCATTATTTCTTCTCTGGTATTTGTTCAATTCTGCTTCAGTTGGAGCTTGTTATGTTAGCTACAGCTCCTTCCTGAACCAGGCTGTTACTGTTATCACATTTTATAACAAAATGTTTCCCCAACAGCCCTTTACTGTGTTCATTCTCCTGATCTTTCTGTTTCTGTTGTCTCTTGCCAATTTGCATATGGCTCTGGCACTAATCCAAAGATTATCATTCTTAAAATCCATATTAGAACAAATGACCTAATGTAGATTAAGACAACTGGGCTTTACCCTAATTTTCCAAATTATTATTCTTCCACTTTTTGACATCCCTTAGCCTGCCCACAGAAGGACAATACTCTGTCTATTTCCCAAGTGAGAGAATCCACATTTATATTCTGTTCCCTGCACCTCATTCCAAAACCATGGTGTCTTGGCCTGCATTGCACTTGCCTTCCCCACAGTCCTTCTCCTTGTCATCACTTGTTGGAGGAATGTGTTGAACTGGACTAGTACTTGGAGACTAAATCAAACTGTTGGAGAAACCGAGTGAGTCTGGCAGCAATCTCTGAAGAGAGAAACAGAATTAGTGTTCTGAAGAAGGGTCACTTTGGACTTGAAACGTTAACATTGTTTTTCTATCTCCACACATGCTGCTGGACCTGCTGAATTTCTCCAGTATGTTTTGTTCTTTTTGTTCAGGTTTTACTTTTATTTTCATGTTAGTGGAACTTGCTTCTCCATTGTCACTAAGTCCCTTCTCACTGAGTTGCTGGTAGTCGGACCTACCCTTTGCTGAATCAGTTCTCTGGAGTATTTGTATTCTGGGTAAAACTATCCAAAATTTCCTTCCTCCTTGTTATGTTTGAGTGCCTGAACTTGAATGATTCTGAGTAGCAATGACTTGAAGTAGGGATATTTCCTACAGACCTAGAAGTCTTGAGACAGTCTCAATGTCTGTGGACTTCCACATACTAGAACCTTGGCATATAGCCTGTAGTTCCCTCCCTAATCTTTTTTATTTGTTTATTGATGATCTGAATTAAAATTGGGGAGATTATTACAAACTTTACTTACTGTTCACAGAGGAGCAGGATTCTGAGTAGTTTCCATGTCCAGTTTCCCCAATCTGAATAGACAATTTTCAGGCTTTTTGAAAACCTAATCTACTGTAAGAAATTTTATATGCACATACATTGGGTAAATGTTAGGAATGAAGTTATCATAATTTTTAGGTGGATTACAAGTGTGCAGGCACAACCGGTGGTGCTAGCTAAGGAATGGCCGTTTGGCAAGGTTCAACAAGATCAGGATAAACAAAAGACAAAAATTCAATATAATTAAAACCTGGGATAAAACAATTATATTCAGAATAATTTGGAGTATACTAGATCACACTTGCTTTTGATGTAGATCAGTGTAAAGTGTTAGTGTTGGAGCAAGAAACTAGAGAAGGTTAAAGGGCTGTGGAACAGTTAGTTAGTAATATCCAGTGGGACATTTATGAATTTTGGGGACAATTGTACTTTTGTTTGACTGAGACGTAGAGTATCTCAAATGAAAGTTACGCTGACCCTGTTTGACCCTGTATGCAGTATAGTCAATTCATTTTAGGAAGTATATTAATTCTTCATGGCTTTCAAAACTAATAATGATTCTGATTTTGGGACATTTAAAGAAATGCTTATAAAGCTGGGCCATTCCTTTTTATGGAGAAGGCTTCAATGTGATTGTGACATTGGAATTTTTTTTTGTACTTGTGTTTTGAAAGGTTTTTGGTTTATTTAGATTGAAAAGATAATGGTAAAATCAGATTGAGGCTAGAAACAGTTTATTCCCACTCTTGCAATTTGCTAATTTGTAGCATTATAAGGTTGTAGATTCTTTATAGGTGATTAGGGAACATGAATATATTATGCTGAGGGGAAGTGAGCTGGTGATTAACTATAGTTATTCTTTCTTGTACTTCAGTCCTGAGATGTTGGGAAATCACTGAACATATTGCACAGTCCTTTGCACCTTTAGTACCGGAATAGATGTTATTCAGTGACCTAGATTTTATGGTCATGCTGACGATGGATTGCATTATGCATTTACAAGAATCTAGGAAAAGATAGCTATGTATTACACAATATAAAACAAATGTAATAATTTACATTGAAAATGGTGTGCTAGTAATTCTTAAGTTTAAGAAGGACTATAGAACATGCCCAGTGAATAATAGATCAGTCATTTTAACTTCACTGGAGAAATAGAGGAGTCCTTATAAATGAAGTGAATGTCTTTTAGAGTTTAAAAATATAACAATACTTAGCATGATTTCAAAAGAGCAAATCTTGCTTCTGCAATCATGTTGACTTTTTTGAAGGGAAAACAAGGGTAATTTATTTTGAATTTTCAAAAGGCTTTTGGTAAGGTGCCCATAATAAACTAATGAATAAATTCCGGGAATGTCAAATGGCAGATTGGATTGCTACCTGGCTTAAAGCCAAAAATGCAGAATGGGAATCAAGGGTGGTTCTTTAGAGTGATAGAATAAGGATGTTGTCATTGAGAGATAACATGTTAAAATCATTGCTGTTCATAATTTACATTAATGATTTGGACTAGGCAGGTGTTAATTGCATTGATCTAGTAATCCAAAGGTCCAGGCAAATTCTCTGGGGACACAGGGTTAAAACCCAACGTGGCAGCTGGTGGAATTAAAATTTGATTAATTGTTCCATATGTAAAGTTTTATAGAATGGTTAAACTGTATTTTGAACTCTATTTAATTAATAGAGTAATGTGGAGTAATTGGAGAGGGGAATATGATTCATTTGTTCTGCCCGAACATGAGCCTATATGTCTTAGTTGCCATCAAATCTGATGCAGGAGAGCTGGCCAAGTTCTGTTGAAGGCCAATTGTCTACTTCCACACTTGGTCACAATGAAACGAGTAGCTGGCTTTGTTATGAGAAAACTTCTCGAATCTTTGGGTAATGAGAGTCACAGGATTGAGAGGAAGTTCATATCAAATCATTAATTCGGTGCTGAGTTCACCTTCTAAAACTGTAACAATGTGCTATTTCGAGGAGCAGGATATCACTGATAGCAACTTTCAGATTATTGCATTTAATGACACATTGCTAAGCAGAGGTTGCTGACAGTTTCACGATCATTACAACAGCCAATTGCAATCCCATGATGTCCAGCTCATTTGTTGCAAGAAGGGCTAAACAGACTATTTCTTTTTGAGCATTTTGCTTGGGACAATCCTTGAAGTAGAAAGTTGAAGGAAGAATCAGAGGCGTTTATGTTTATTCCTCCATTTAACTCATGCCACCAGAGAATTTTGGCCACCTTATGAATGCACCTTCCTTGTTCATTAAGTCCTCAAGTGGGACTTGAGCCCAGAGCTCTGGCTCAGAGCAGGGATGCTACCTGCAGTACTGCAGGACCCTACTGAATATGCATGTCGATACTGTCCCGATCAAACATATTGGGCAGAGAGGAAAGAATCTCTGGTGTGACATCTTTAAACACCAGCATTCTATGATTTTGCTTGTTGCTTCCATGTTTTTACAGTTGGTTATAAGATTACAATGGATTATTTAAAGCTGCTTCATTTATTCAAGGGCAGTTGTTACTCCTTTGCTTTCAGTAAATCTGAGATTATATCACCCCTGGATGACCTTGCCTTTGACATGTACCAGGATCCTGAAGTGGCTCAAATCATACGTAAATTGGATGAAGAGAAACATGAAGCAGTTAAACATGAACGCTATGATTTTGCAAAGAAACTTAAACAAGCTATAGCTGACCTTCAGAAGGTACAGTGTATTAAGATCAAGCGTTGTTGAACAATATTTAGACCTACTTCTTAGTAATGATGTGAGGAGCAATTGCATTGCTGATCAGGATGTTATCATTGTTCTGATTGTATATGTAAAGCATTCATTTTGTACATAATTAAATATAGAAATCTATGTTTTTGAATAGAGATTGTAGGAACTGCAGATGCTGGAGAATCTGAGATAACAAGGTGTAGAGCTGGATGAACACAGCAGGCCAAGCAGCATCAGAGAAGCAGGAAGGCTGACGTTTTTTTCCCCCTATTTCTTTTTCCATTGCATGGATTACTGAGGTCCATCTGAGGCCAGTGACTTCCATCTGCTGAAGTCTATGTCAGCAGTCTGTTCGCTTTGCGTGAGATCTCCAAGCAGTGGCCATGCAGCTTGAGGAAGGTTGCTTGCAGGTGCTAGAGATAAGGTTTGTAAGGTCCCTACTGCTTATTACCATTCCCTAGCTACCAGTGTTCCTGAGTAACTCATTCTGTCAGCAACATACGTGATAATTTGAATCCCAAAATGAACTTGCTCATTTGTGTCATCGCTAATACTACCTATTTCCACTTTGAACACATTGCCTGACATTTGTTGCTGTCTCAGCTATCTCCTTCAGAAAATGTCATTCATATTATCTAGATCTTGAAGCCAGATTACTCGTATGCAAACCAGCGGTCTCCCAATTTTAAATCCCTAAGCTTGAGGTAATACAAAATATTGTCTGTGTCTTAACCTTCATCATGGCCCGTGTTATGATACTATGGCTTTCAGAGGTTATTCTGTTCTGTCTTTTTTTTTTAGGGGAGGTTTTAAGACAGAGGTACTGAGCTATCTATTTGGAAAGCCAGTCAAGAAAACAGCTTGTGAGGCCTTGGGGATTTTGCTGAAAAGTTGGAATAAGAAAAGCAGCCTGAATAGGTGTGGTCAAACTCTCACAGAACCAGAATTTTTAGTTTATTAGTTTTTCACTAGCAGTTGTTGCTGGGTCTGTTGCTGTAGTACATCTCTCCCTGCTACTGTGTCTCGGTTCTCTTGATGTTTTTCCTCTTGCAGTTGCATGTTAGAGAGTCTGTTTTCTGAATTTGCCTTTTGCCAAGAGTGTGTTTATGGAATGTAACTATATTGGAACATTTGATTAGTGGTAGTTACTGAATTATTATTCCATTTAAGTTTTCCAATAGAATTAGAATTAAGCCAATTCTTTTCTTTTTTCTCTTTTGCTGTATTTTAATTATAGTGTATGAATAAGTTGGTTTTGCTTAACATCAAGTAGTTTGACCAGTCAAATTGCATTTACCTTCAAAATAAGACAAATTGGCGTCTAGGCAACTTTTTAACATATTTTGAGGGGGGTTTGGTATGATCCATAACACCTGCTCAGCTATCACTCCTGTTCTTGTTGACTTACATTGGCTCTGTTGAGTAACATTTAGGATTTAAAAATTGTCCTTGTTATCAAATCCTCATGGCCCTACCTCTTCTTATCTCTGCAATCTCCTCCAGTTCCATAACCCTCTGATAATTAGGCACTGATTGAATTCTGGTGTCAAACATCCCTGATTCTGCCTATAGTGACCATGCTTCAATTACCTAAACCCCAGTCTCTGAATGTCTGTTCTACCTATTTTGTCAAGGTTTTGGTTGACTGTCCCGAGTGTGTCAATGTCATATTTTGTCTTCTCTGAAGCATCTTCTGAAGTTTACTATGTTTTAGGTGTTATATTTATGTAAGATTTTGTTACTGCATTGTCTTGATCAACACTTTTTAAAATTGACAAGAAAACCTAATTTGTCATTACCAAAATTGAGCTGACAAATGGCCAGTGACATTCATGCCACGCAAATGCCAGGCAATGACCATCTTCAATAAGAGACAATCTGTCACCTGCCCCTTGACAATTAATGGCGTTACCATCATTGAGTACCCCCACTATCAACATTCTGGGGGTTACTATGGAGAGAAACCCAGCTGGACTCTCCATATAAATATACTGCTATGAAAGCATGTCAAAGTACTACATTGAGTAATTCACCTTCTGACTTTCCAAAGCATGTCCACTGCCAGAGGCAAAGTCCCCACTTGCCTGGATGAGTGTGGCACCTATAATACTCAAGAAACTTTACACCATCCAGGACAAAGCAGCCCACTTGATTGGTATCGAATCCACAAACATCCACTCCTTCCTCCTCCAATACTCAGTGGCAGCAATGTGTCCTATCTACACGATGCAATGCAGAAATCTGCCATCAGCATCTCCCAAAAGCATGACCCACTTCCATCTAGAAGGACAAGGGCAGGATATAAATGGGAATGCCATGACCTGCAAGTTCCCCCCCAAGCCACTCACCGTCCTCACTTCGAAATATATTGATGTTCCTTCACAGTCACAGGATAGAAATCCTGGAATTGTCTCCCAAACAGTATGTGGGTCAACTTACAGCTCATGGACCACAGCAGTTGAAGAATGCAGCTCACCACCACCTTCTTAAGGGCAGGTAGGGACAGGCAATTAAATGCTGGTCAGCCAGTGACGCCCACATCCCATGTGTGAATGAAAGAAAAGAAAAGCAGCAAGAGATACAGATGGCTTCATGTCTGATGTAAAAGCAGATTAAGCTGGAAAACATTCAGCAGATCAAGCAGTATCTGCTGAGAGACAAAAAAGGAATTAACGTTTCAGGTGGATGACCTTTAACTGGAAGTTATCAAGTAGTGAGTAACTCTTAGTCGATGTTATGGTTTGAGTTTAGTATGTTCATGCTCATCTTACACTCAGCACTTCTTCGAAGAGAATTATTTGTATATTTGAAGAAGCACTTTTTGAATGTTGATAATTGAGCTTATGGATAACAACAATTCATTTTGTTCAGGTAGGAGAGCGCCTGGGCCGTTATGAGGTGGAAAAGCGCTGTGCAATTGAGAAGGAGGACTATGACCTGGCCAAACAGAAGAAGCAGCAAATGGATGATTATAGGATGAAGGTTTACCAGCAGCTAGAGCTACATAACTTGCTGGACATGGGAACGGTCAGTATGGATTCGTGCTGTCATGTTTATCAGAGTATTCTAATGTCCTTCAGGGAAGGAAACTGCCATCGTTACCTGGCCTGGTCTACGTGTGACTCCACAACCACAGCAATCTGGTTGACTCTTTACTGCCCCCTGGGCAATTAAGGATGGGCAGCAAATGCAGTTAGCAACGCCCACATCCTGTGAATGAATAACAAAGAAGTCACCTGCCTACCTTCCCTAAGTAAACAGTGATTTGCCTCCCGTGATGAGCCAGATGTGAGTCTCCAATTTGCTATTGGAGAAAGGGAACTGTAAAATAAACTATGATAAAATTGGGGGAAAAATGGCTTCTGCTTAATATGTTCTTTAGCAATAGCCTGCTGGAGATACCCTACATCTGGTGCTGCATTGGAGACAATGATATAAATTAATTCTTGGATTCTGATTCTGTAGCTCCCGTAGTTGAATATCAACAGTGACCATGACAGAGCTTTTAAACATATATTAGTTTTAATAAATATTTTTAAATTTGGGAAACACACTTTTCAAAAACGACTCAACATCCATTCTTCCTTCCTTCCCTGAATCATGCTAAATGGACGCAAGTAACTTTCTGGTGTATCATTCATGTGGTGATGTATCCTGACAATCCTATTTTGTCGAAACTTCAACAGTCATCACTGTGTACTTTTCAGTAGGTCACACTGCATGACCTTCGTAAGCAGGAGAATTGATTAATTGTTTTCAAAGCTGTGAATTCAAGTTTATTCCAGAAATTTCATCGTGTAATCCAGATTGACAATGTAGTGCTACATAACCTGTGGCTGTTCAAAGATCACCTGTTACTGTTTATAAGAAAATCATAGGAATATTATGTTGTATCTTGGTCAATATTTATCCTTCAGACCTGCATTACTAAGATGGATTTATTTGCTCAATTCTTTTGCTACATGCAAATTGGCTATTGTGTTTCCTAAATAACATAACTAACTATTGTTCAAACTTGCCTGAATAGGCTTTAAAGGCACTTGGGGGAACCCTGAGATTTTAAATAAATGCAACATAAATGCAAGTCATTCTGCTCTTTCCTGGGCACAGGCACATATGGCATGTCATATCTACTATCTCAGTTAACTGAGTGCAGATTAGGAACTGAGCCTAGATAAATGGAATAGTTGCTATTCAAAGTTATCCCCACATTCTAAGTTGGAAACTTAATCTGTTGAGATTAAAGGAGACTAATTCAAGTCATGTAATGAAATATTTAAAGCCATTTGTGGTTTAACAAATGGTAGATATAATTCTTTTATTTAAAAAGATCAATGATTTTCACTGTCCAGATCCGAAAGCTTCCTGAGATTCCTCTTGAACCAGTGGATCATCCTAATAGAATTCAACAGCAGCAAATGGTTTTGGGGCTTAAATCTGCATCAGTGGTGGAAACTCATCTGCAGGAGTCATCTGATGAAAGCCTCGGACTGTATCTGACCCCTGGAAAGTCACAATGGTCTCCCATACCACAGCAGCATACTCCTACTCCACCTGCCAGATTACCATCTCCAAGGGTACGTATTCTCCTGTAACAGCTTGGTCTCTCCCTTAGGAAGGGAGCAGTTACCTAGAAATGTTGAAGATACTAGCAGGAGAAGGCCATTTGGCCTTTACAGCCTGCTGTGCCATTCATTGCGATCATAGCTGATTGTCCACTCAATAGCCTAATCCTGCTTTCTCTCCGTAACCTTTGATCCCATTCGCTGCAAGTGCTATACCTAGTTGCCTCTTGAATGTATTCAATGTTTTGGCATCAACTACCTCCTGTGTTAATGAATTCCACAGGCTCACCACTCTTTAGGTGAAGAAATGTCTCCTCGTCTCTGTCCTAAATGGTCTGCCCTGAACCCTCAGACTGTGACCCCTGGTTCTGGACACACCCACCATCAGGAACATCCTCCCTGGGTCTACCCTGTCTAGTCCTGTTGGAATTTTATAAGTCTCCCTGAGAACCCCCCCCGCCAACAATTCGTCTGAACTTTAGCGAAAATAATCCTAACCTAGTAAATCTCTCCTCATACGTCAGTGCCGCCATCCCCAGAATCAGCCGGTTAAACCTTCGCTACACTCCCTCGAGAGCAGGAGCATCTTTCCTCAAAAGGAGACCAAAACTGCGCACAATATTATAGGTGTGGCCTCACCAAGGCCCTGTATAACTGCAACAACACATCCCTGCTCCTGTACTTGAAACCTCTTGCAATGAAGGCCAACACACCATTTGCCACCTTTACTGCCTGCTGCACCTGTATGCTTACCTTCAGTAACTGGTGCACAAGGACACCCAGCTCCCGCTACACATTCCCCTCTCCCAATTTACAGCCATTCAGGTAGTAATCTGCCACCTCGTTTTTGCTTCCAAAGTGAATAACCTCACATTTATCCAAATTATACTGCATTCGTCCACTCACCCAACCTGTCCAGATCATGCTGAGATTTGAGTCCTCGTCATATTTCACCTTCCCACCCAACTTGGTATCATCTGCAAACTTTGAGATGTTACATTTTGTTCCCTCATCCAAATCATTCATCTATTTTGTGACTAGCTGGGGCCCTAGTACTGATCCCTGTGGCACCCCACTAGTTGCTGCTGCCAATTTGAAAAGGACCCATTAATTCCTACTCTTTCTTCTCTGCCAACCAGTTTTCTATCCTCAATACATTTCCCCCGATCCTATGCATTTTAACCTCACACAATAATCTCTTGTGTGGGATTTTGCCAAACGCTTTCTGCAAGTCCAAGTGTACCACATCGACTGGCTCCCCCATGTCACCTCTACTAATTACATCTTCATAGAATTCCAACAGATTTGTCAGCATGATTTCCCCTTCATAAATCCATGCTAACTGTGTCTTATCCTGCCACTGCTTTCTAAATGCTCTGCTGTAATGTCATCTATAATGGATTCGAGAATTTTCCCCACTAACGATGTTAGGCTTACTGGTCTATAATTCCTTGTTTTCTCTGTACCTCCCTTTTTGAATATTGGAGTGACATTAGCTACCCTCCAATCTGCAGGGACTGTTCAAGAGTCTATAGAATCCTGGAAGATGACCACCAATGCATCCACTATTTCCAGAGCTACTTCCTTAAGTACTCTGGGATATAGATTATCGGGCCCTAGGGGTTTATCCCCTTCAATCCCATCAATTCTCCCAGCACTATTTCTCTACTAATATTGATCTCCCTCAATTCTTCCCTCTTACAAAATCTTGGATTCTCCTTCATTTCCGGTATCTGATTTGTGTTCTCTTTTGTGAGGTCAGAACCAGAATATGTATTCAGTTGTTCAGCCATTTCTTTGTCCCCTATTATACATTTCCCCGTTTCTGTCTGCAGGGAACCTACATTTGTCTTCACCAACCTCTTTTTCTTCTTGTACCTATAGAAACTCATATAGTTTCAGTTTTTATGTTCCCTGCAAGCCTCCTTCCGTACTATATTTCCCCCTTCTTAATCAATCCTTTGGTCCTTCTTTGCTGAATTCTAAACTGCTCCCAATCCTCGGATATATTAATTTTCTTGGCCAACCTGTATGCATCCTCCTTGGATCGGATAGTATCTCTAATTTCCTTTGTAACCCATGGATTGGCCCTCTAACCCACTTTGCTTTTGTGCCAGACAGGAATAAACAGTTGTTGCGGTTCCCCCATGCATTCCTTGAATGTTTGCCGTTGCCTATCCACTGTCATCCCTTTTAAGTAACTCTCCCCAGCCTATGAAGGCCAACTCATGCCTCGTATCTTCGTAGTTTCCTTCATTAAGATTCAGCACCCTCATCTCCAAATCCATTATCTCACTCTCCATCTTGATAAAAAAAATTCCATCATGTTATGGTCACTCATCCCCAGGGGATCTCACACAGCTAGATTGGCAATGATTCCCTTCTCATTACCTAGTGCCCAGCCTAAGATGGCTTTCTGTCCAGTTGGCTCCTCCACATATTGCTCGAGAAAATCATATATACACTCCAGGAATTCCTCCTCTACGGCATTGTGGCTAATTTGATTTGCCCAATCGATGTGCAGATTAAAATCACCCTTATCAATATTCCCTTATCACATGCACTTCTAATTTCCTGTTTAATGCCATTCCCGATGTCACCACTGCAGTTTGGGGGTCTGTGTATGACACCCGCTAATGTTTTTTGTCCCTTGGTATTTCTCAACTCTACCCATACAGACTCCACATTGTCAGAGCTAATATATTTTCTGACTATTGTGTTAATTTCCTGTTTAACCAGCAATGCCACTCCACCACCTTTTCCTTTTCGTCTGTCCTTCCTAAATACTGAATACCCTGGTACATTCTGTTCCTGTCCCTGGTCACCCTGCTGCCATGTCTCCGTAATCCCAATTGTATCCGTTTACATCTAACTGCGCGATTATTTGATCCACTTTTATTGCAAATGCTCCACGCATTAAGATACAAAGCCTTTAAGCTTGTCTTTTTAACATTGTTTGTCTCACTTTTTTTTCTCACTAGCCCTATTTGAATTTTATCATTGGTTTCTCTGCCTATCACTTTTCTTATTCCCTTTTCTACCTTTTTTGTTTTTGTCCTTGCTCCCTTCTTCTCTGACTGTACACGTAGGTTCCCATCCCCCATTTGGCTAATGGTAAAGATCTGTGTACTGGCTCTAATTATAGAAATGAGAATCTGTAAATTAGTAGAACTTTCATTTCTACAAAGCCATTGTTGTACGTTTGGGTACTAATAATATTAAAAAGACATGACAAGAAATATCACAACTACATTTTAGTGATGTCAGGATTTTTGCTAACTTTGGACTCAGAAGTCACTTGAGTGAAGGATGTGCTCAGTCTCTTGATCTTTCTTTTACTTTTCTTATCCACTATCACTTCCACTTTTACATGAGCAAATCGGATGTCACAATGTAATGTTAATTGATCAATTCTGTACTTTAATATCTGTAAATGACAAATGCTGCTTGGCAATTTTAGTTCCTTTGAGGATAAAAAGGACCGTGCGGGTGGTGAAAAGGGTCTTTGAAAATGTATTTAATAAAGGACTATATGATAAATTAAAACACAGAATAAAGGTGGAAGTAGCAGAATGGATACAAATTAGTTAAGGGATTTATAAAATGGACAGGGTATCCATTCACTACAAAACCACTACTATCTTTGTTATATCAATGACGTGGAGTTACAGGATACAATTTTGAAACTTGCAGATGACACGAAACTTGATTGTGTAGTATACAGTGAAAAAGAATTATTAAATTTCAAGAGGGTATAGGCTGATGGAATGGTTGAATGCATGCCAGGTGAAATTCAACACTGAAAAAAATTTGCCAGCTTACAGCGAAACAGTGGGAAATGAGCTCAACTGATCTTTATGATTCTTTATTTTAAAATGTGATGATTTCTGTTTGCTCTAGTGAATGAAATTTCTGCTGATTGTTGTAGCAGTTAGTTGTAAAGGTGACCAGTAAGACCCTGCCATCTCAACCTCTCCCTTCGTCTGAGGTGTGGTGACCTTCAGGTTAAACTCAGCACCATTTTCTTTTCATGAGGAAGCACTTTATGGTTCTCTGTAACCGTGGCATCTTTCACTTCACTTTTTTATACAGTGGACACCCCGCTGTGTCTGCTTTCCAGCACTTAAGTTTTTTGATTTTTTTTAAAGTAGCTTTGAACTGAGTACCTATTGAGTATTAACAAGTACATCAGTGACTAGTTTAAAGGCAATGGCCTAGCGGTATTACCACTGGACTTTCAATCCAAAGACCCAGATAATATTCTGGGGACCCGGGTTTGAATCCTGCCATGGCAGGTGGTGGAATTTGAATTCAATAAATATCTAGAATTAAGAGTCTAATAATGACCATAAATCCATTGCCGATTGTCAGGGAAAATCCCATCTGGTTCACTAATGTCCGTTAGGGAAGGAAACTGCCATCTACTGGCATACATGTGAGTCCAGACCCACAGAAATGTGGTTGACTCTTAATTGCCTTCTGGGCAATTAGGGATGGGCAGTAAATGCTGCCTGGCCAGCGACACCCTCATCCCGTGAATGTATAAAGAAAAAAAAACTTCCTTCGCCTGCCAAAGCACTAACACTTTTAAAGCGGACTCTCAAAGGATGGAGGTGCTAGTGAAATGAGAAAATTAACAGAACTGCAGCAAAATGTCTGGTAATCTTTTGCAACTTTAGCTTTATTGCTATATCATCATATGTCCAATCATCCGTTTGAGGAGGCAAGCCAATAACCTATTCTTTGCCTTTTCCTAGTGATGCTTTAACTGGTTTTATACAGTCAGCATGGCTTTGTGCATGGGAAATGGTGTCTCACGAATTTGATTGAGTTTTTTGAAGTGGTGCCCAAGAAGATAGATGAGGCCTGTGCGGTAGACGTTGCTACAAGCTTTTGCGCGAGGCCTTCGACAAGGTACCGCTTGGTGAATTGGTTAGTTAGGTTATATCATATGGGATCCAGGGAGAGCTACCCAGTTGGACACACAATTGGCTTGATGGTGGTGGTAGAGGATTTTTTTTTTTTTTTTTTTTTTTTAAGACGAAAGACCTGTGACCAGCAGTGTACCACCCGGATCAGTGCTGGGTCCACTGTGAATCATTTATTTGGATGAATTTATAGGAGGCATGGATAATAAGTTCACAGCTGACACCAAAATTGGTGATATAGTGAACAGTCTAAGAGCACAACAGGATTGTGATCAACTGGACCAGTGGACTGAGGAATGGCAGATGGAGTTTAATAGAGATAAATACATGGTGTTGCATTTTGGTAAGACAAACCATGGCAGGCTATGCACAGTAAATGATAGGGCCCTGGGGAGTTGTTGAACTGAGAGACCTGGGGAACAGGCACATTGTTGCTTGAAAGTGGCATCGCAATTAGACAGGGTGGTTAAAAAGATGTTTGGCATGCTTGCCTTCATTGATCAGAGCACTGATAACAGGAGTTGGGACATCATATTACAGTTTTACAAGACATTGGTAAAGCCACATTTGGATTACTACATACAATTCTGGTTGCCCTGATATGGGAAGCATGTGATTAAACTGGAAAGTTTGCCAAAGAAGTGTTCTGCACCAGGCCAAACTACCTAAAAATATATTTAAGAAGATTCCCTAGACCCTAACTTTTTGTGTTAAAGGCAAGTGCCAGGCATTGCATTCCAGATGCCATTTGATTAGTCAAACTATTTGACATCAAGCAAAACGCACATTATTCATCCACTGTAGTTAAAATAAAACAAAAGAAAAAAGAAATTGGAATAACTTAACTGGATTGGAAAACTTAACGGAATAATAGATTATGAACTACTACTAATTAACTGTTGTAATGTAGTAACATCTGAAAAACACACTTCACAAAGGCAAATTCAGAACAGATTGTGTCACGTGCAACTCCAGAAGCAGGAAAATCATTAAGACAACTCAGAATAGCAGGGAGAGATGTACTGTGGTTTCCACCCAGCTTCAAGACCCATCAACTGCTGGTACTGAAACTAAAAATCCTGGTTCTGTGGGAAAACAAGATGTGGAACTGGATGAACACAGTAGGCTAGGCAGCATCAGAGGAGCAGGAAAACTGACGCTTCGGGTCTGGACCCTTCTTCAGAAATGGGGGAGGGGAAGGGGGCTCTGAAATAAATAGAGTTTAGAGGGCGGTGATAGAAGGTAGATAGTGGAGCAGATAGGTAGAGAAAAGATGGACCGGTCAAGGAGGCGGGGATGAAGCTAGTAAAAGTGAGCGTAAGTAGGTCGTTGGGATGGGCGTTGGTCAGTGAGGAGGGAGGGGCGGGTAGGTGGGAGGGAAGACGGACAGTTCAAGGAGGCAGGGCTGAAGCTAGTAGGTGAGTGTAGGTACGAAGTGGGGTTGGGCGTTGATCAGTGAGGTGGGAGGAGCAGATAGGTGGGAGAGAAGACGGACAGATCAGGGACGCGGGGACGAGAGGGTGGGCTGGTCTTGGGATGAGGTCGGGGGTGGGGAAGCTCGTAAAGTCCACATTGAGACCATTGGGTTGTAGGGTTCAGTGGCAGAATATGAGATGCTGTTCCTCTAGTTTTCGGGTGGCATCGTTGTGACATTGGAGGAGGCCCAGGATGGACGTGTCGTCCAGGAATTAGGAGGGGGAGTTGAAGTGGTTCGCGAGTTGGAGGTGTTGTCGTTTGTCGCGAACCGAGTGTAGGTGCTGCAGAAAGTAGTCTCTGAGCCTCCGCTTGGTCTCCCTGATGTAGAGGAGGCCACATCGGGAGCAGCGGACACAATAGACCACATTAGCGGATGTGCAGGTGAACAGGTGTAGCACATCCTGTGGTTGCAGGCGATGTAAACTGCGCCTCCCTTGTCCCCCGTTTATGTAGTGAGGTTAGGGTTTGAGCGGAGGGCTGCACGTTCTGTGGGGGAGAGGTTGGAGTGAGTCAGAGAGTTGGCACCTGGCCTCGGCGATGTAAACGTCAGTGTGCTCCACACTCTCCACTAGTCCCACCACCCCGGCACCTTTCCCTGCTCCCCCCTCACCTCCATCCCAGGCCCCAAGAAAACCTTCCACACTAAACAGATGTTCACCTGCACATCTGCTAATGTGGTCTGTTGTGTCCGCTGTTCCCGATGTGGCCAGCTCCACACCTCGTTATTTCAGACTCCAGCATCGGCAGTTCCTACTGTCTCTGGTTCTGTGGGAGCTTGCCCCAACATTCAGGCTGCTTCTATTGTTCCAGCATTTTTTTTTTAAAAACCCAAGGCCTTACCAGCTGCTTACTTTTCATTGGCTTTCATAACACAGTTCATCTCTTCTGCTTTAAAACCTTTCTTCAACACAAAGAAGGACAAAATGCACCTCTTAAAGCCATAAATATCAGTACAAAAGATCTTACAAGGATGTTACCTAGACTGGAAAGTTTGAATTATAAGGAGAGGCTGGGACTTTGTCCCCTGGAGCGTAGGAGGCCGAGAGTTGACCTTAAAGAGGTTTATAAAGTCATGAGGGGCATAGATAAAGTGAATAGCCAAGGTCTTTTCCCCAGTGTAGTGGAGTCCAAAATTAGAGGGCATAGGTTTCAGGTAAGAGTGGAAAGATTTAAAGGGGATCTGAGGGGCTGCTTTTTCACACAGAGGGTGGTGTGTGTATGGAATGAGCTGCCAGAGGAAGTGATAGAGGCGGGTACAATTACAACATTTAAAAGTCTATTGGACCAGTACATAGATTGGAAAGGTTTAGAGGGATATGAGCCAAATTCAGGCCAATGGGAATAGTTTAGGAAACCTGAGTTGGCATAGATGAGTTGGGCCAAAGTTCCTGATTTTGTGCTGTGTACCTCTGATTCTATGGATGAAGTGAGATGTGAAAGCATTAGACTAGATTTTCTGCTTTCCAGTAGAGACTTGGCTTCTTTCCCCTCTCTCTCTCTCTCTTCCTGTTCCATTGGGCCAGCCCTTCTGCCAATATGCTTTAAACAGTATGACTGACATGGAGAATTGTTCTGCCAGTTCAAGGCACAATAAGTTTTTTTAAGCCAGGGATCAACGCTTGTGTTCCTTCTAACTCTTAAAAAATTTTTTTTTTTTGGTAAATTGAAGTTTGATCTACTACGCCACCACACAGTCCGTAATTCTGTTATTGTGACTTGTTCCAAGGAAGTACCTCTTTCTGCAAATTAATTCATTTTGTTAAAATGGGAAAACTGCGAAATTACAATATGTATTCTCTGGCACTAAAGTAACACAAAAAACAGTTAAATATATGCTCATTTTATTTTTCAGTTCTGTTCACTATTCTGTCACTTTAGAGAATTTTGAACTCAAATATATGGATTTGAACATCCGCATGGGAGAAATTATCACAAACAAGATCCAGAGCTGTGTTTGTAGTGAAGTAATTGACAAATTTCTTTTAGACAAGCAACTTGATGTTTGAAACACTTTTCTATCAAAACAGGAATGGCAAACTCTGAGTGCTAAATCCAGTCCAGGAGACTGGGACCAAATAATTAACCCCATGCATATCTAATAAGGAAGGCGAACTCTTATCCACGACCAGGTGTTTTGTAACCAATTGGGCAACCTGACTGAAGCTGATTGCCGCAAATCTGATCTTTTTCCTTTTGTGGTCTTCCCTCAGGTCGATAGCAGCTCACTTCCCTATGATGAGAGGCCACTTCCAACTCAACACAAACCTGCAGAATTATATGGCGTACTACAGTTGGAGGTTAATGAACCAGCTGCAGTAAACCTAGACTCTTCACCGACATCAAGAAGTGGAATCACAGGAGAACCAGAACCACTGACTGAAAAAGCTATCAGGGAGGCTAGTTTTGCCATTGATTTGTTTGGTGAGGCTCTGGTAAGCATGGAAAATCGAACAATTTTTAATTTGTTCAGCTTACTTCTGCATATAATATTGGCTGTCATCTGAATCTGACATTGTTAGATTTTGAGGGGTGTTCCTTGAGGAAATTGCTTTCCTAAGAGGAAACATTACCTCTCAGGAGTCTCAAGTGAGCATCAATTTTCCGTTCTGAGGAAGGGTCACCAGACCCGAAATGTTAACTCTGATTTTTTCAGAGATGCTGCCAGACCTGCTGAGCTTTTCCAGCAACTTCTGTTTTTGTATCATTTTTCAATTAATCTTCATTGCTAGTAATATGCAATACAAAAGTTTTTTCTTCATCTATCCATATTCCAAGCAGTTGTGCATTACGTTAGACGATAACAGATGGCATCAATGTAGCACTTCTGAAAATTAGAGCAAAGTGATTTAGAGGGTGTTTAAATGGCCAGAATAAGAGCAGTGGCAAGGTTGGGGTAAGATTTATAGGTCATTGTGATACTTAGAGGTTGATAGACAGAGGCATAAAGGGATAATCTGTTTAATTTGGAGGCACTGGGTTATTATCTGAGGAACCCAAAAGCAATAGAGTGTAATTGTTTTAGAAGTATAAGCTTAATGAGTCATCTCATCATTGAAAGAAATTATAATACATTTGAAGCAGAAATTGGTGAAACGCAATCTTGAATCTAAATAAAAGAGAATATTTAACTCAAGAATAATCTTGGACGAAATGTGGCTGTAAATAAGAGCATACATATATGTGTCCAGACACTCTCAAAGTTTATCATGCTAATTAACTTTTGGTGATAAATGTGTAGCTGAGATGTGACATTATTTGTTAAAATAGGCTGTAGGTAAATCTCGTGTCAAGTTGGAAGAGAGACAATTGGATATTTTTCAAGTGTGAAGAGAGGATTGTGATGAGGCTGTGTACTGTAGCCAAAATGATTTGATTTGTACGCAACAAATATTCAGAAGTAGATGTTCTCTCAGATTGAAGGCAAAAATATAACAAGCAAGCAATGCACTGATGTCTAGTGCTACTTGCAGAATCAGAAGAGGGCCCCACAAAATTTTGTTTCTCATAAAATCTAGAAATTTATTATATAATTGTATACGAACACCAAAAAACCCCACAAAGACTGGAATAGTTAGAACAAGTACCTGGCTTGATGGCACTTGTAGGGTGGGGTATATGCCAGGTCATTAGGTTGCAGATTGTGCTGGAGTACAATTTGTTCAGGTACAGTTTGGCTGCTGTTGATGGCCTACAGTGTCTCATGTCTTCAATTGCTCGAAGAAATATCTCAAAAGAAACTAGCATTCGGCTTGAAGTGGATGGTGTCACGTTGTAACAAGTAGATATACTTGTCAGTTTATAATGATAGCAGAAAATGGCTGAAGGGATACGGAGTTAAAAGAGGGATTAGGTGACCAGAAATAATTTTGTGAAAATAAAGAGCACATTATCATCAAGACAACTCAAACTTGCAATAGGTTTAAAAAAAAAACTCATAAAATGCTATTCAGTCTTCTCTCTGGGGTTATTAATCCAGAAACTCTAGCCATGTTCTGAGGACCAGAATTCAAATCCAGCCATGGCAGAATTTGAATTTAGTACATACCTGAAATTGAGTCTTATGATGACCATGCTGGTTGTTGGAAATCTGCAATCTTCACCTGCAGACCCACAACAGTGTGGTTGACTTTCAGCTGCCCTCTGAAATGGCCTAGTAAGCCACTCAATTGTAACAGTCACTACAAAATTCAAAAAAGAAATTAAACCTGTTGGACAACTTGACATTTACCTTGGCGTTCGACCCTCGGACACAGCACCTTCAAAACCCACAACCACTTCTGTCTGGAAGGCCAAGAGCAGCAGAAACACTGGAACACCACATCTGCAATTCCCCTCCAAGCTACTCACCATCCTGACTCGGAAATTATAACCATACCTCCACTGACACTGGGTCAAAATTGTGCAATTACCTTCCGAATTGCAGTGTAGTTCTACCTCCAGCACATGAACTGAAGCAGTTCGAGAAAACAGCTCACCATCACCACCTCGAAGACATTTTAGGGATGGGCAGTGCATAATGTCGACATCCACATTCCACAAGTAAATTGAAAAATATTTCTTATCCTCCTCAGAAACCTTGACGATACATCAAGATCTATGGAAAAAAATAGAGGACTTTGAAATTTGTGTGCTAAGATCAATATTTCCTCTTAGCTGTGCGACCATGCAGCACTTGGAAGGTCTGTGCATCCTGATTAATGTGTGGACTCATTGACTTTCAGTTCTGGAGGTCAATATCCTGCATGGATCTCGGAGACCTACGAAGCAACAGCAAAAGGTAGAGCCAGCTAAGATGTATGTTAACAATTCCTTGTACAAATCATAAGACAACTAAAACAATAATTGAATATGCAATTGTGGAAGGAACTCTTAAAAGTGTTTGAAGACCCTTCAAAAGAAAATGTCAATATTGTGATGGTTGGATCAGAGCTGAAGAACTGTAGAGATCTCCTCTGAAGGGCAAAATTGAGCGCTACAGAAAGAAGAGTCCATCAGGGTGTAGTTTAATGATGGATGTCAGAGTAGTTGGAAACAAGTTAGAGTGGGTGTGAGGATGACACTGGAGATAAGTAAGGCATATCATGACAACTGACCACCTGACAAGAGTAATTACATGGGGTTACAAGACCACAGCGGAGTGCTCGATGAAGTAATGTTTATAGAGTATGGAGTGCTGGAAGGTCAGCTAGGAGATTATTAGTATAATTTAATCTTTGATTCAGGTTTTTTGGTTTTTTTTAAATGTTTCAGTAGTAATTTGGCTGAGGCAGAAGGAAGGAAATTGTTATGACTTTGGAAGTGGGTGGTCTTTGTGACCTGGAGTTTGTGAGGTTGCAAGCTTCAGTTGTGGTAAAATAACGGACCAGTAGTGCTCAGTTTGATTTTTCCTGCTGGAATGACTGAAGCAGTGTGGAATTTGGAAGCTGCATATTTGGTTGTGTTGAAGTAATTTTGCATTTTTTAGTGTGCTTTTCCATTTCTTACTATACTTTCAATTGGTTTCCCTTTTTCCAAAGACAGCTTTTCAATAAACCATTACATTTTCACAATTCATGTTGTAACTTTCCATTTGCTATTTAGATTCGCTCCCCCAGGGAATCCATCGGTTAATCTATTGAGGTTTTGCACCAAAGAAAGTAGCTAGGAGGTGTTCTGTCTTTTGCTGTTGTCGGAGTCTACGGTGCTTCCCAGGCAAGAGCAAATTTTGAAATTAGAGCCAAATCTTACAGATGCTGGAAATTTACATCAAATATATAATGTTGGAGAAACTAAGCAGGCCTGGCAGCAGCTGTGGAGAGAGGAAAAACAGAGTTAACACTTTGAGCCTGATATGACTTCTTCATAAGTCGCGTTGGAAATATAGTATTTTCATTGAGATTTTGAAAATTGACACTGGTTGATGAATGCCAGTGTTCTCTAGTCTAGGTCAAGGTCTCGGCTCAGAGCTTGGCCCTGATTTTATAAATTTTGCCTCTTGGTGCCTGTGAGAATCTTGTTTTAAAACATGTTCAGTGTTGCTGACTTCTTCTGGCTTTAGATGTTCACAGCTTACTGGGTGGAACGCCACAAGGATTATCTTTGGAAGCAATGTTTTTTATGATTTGCACCAGTGACTTGGATTCAGGAAACTAGATAATACATAAATGGGTTTGAAGGATAAGTTGATTCTGATGTGGAAATATAAATTGAGCTTAACAAAAATGTAAGTGAATGAAATGGAAAAAGGTGTCAGACAATTATAAACTTCATAATACCGTAGGAATATGGAAAGATATAGAGTCATAGAGATGTACAGTGCAGAAACAGACCCTTCAGTCCAATTTGTCCATGCTGACCAGATATCCTAAATTAATCCAGTCCCATTTGCCAGCATTTGGCCCATATCCCTCTAAACCCTCCCTATTCATGTGCCCATCCTGATGCTTTTTAAATGTTGTAATTGTACCAGCCTCCACCACTTCCTCTGGCAGCTCATTCCATACACGTACCACCCTCTGCATGAAAGAGTTGCCCCTTAGGTCCCTTTTATATCTTATCCCTCTCATCTCGAACTACAGGGAATAGGTTTTGGATGCCCCTACTCTGGGGGAAAAAGGCTTTGGTTATTCACCCTGTCCATGCCCTTCATGATTGTATAAACTTCTTAAGGTCACCCATAGTCTCCGACACTCCAGGGAAAATAGCCCCAGCCTATTTAGCCTCTCCATATAGCTCAAACCCTCCAACACTTTTTTGTAAATCTTTTCTGCACCATTTCAAGTTTAACAGCATCTATCCTGTAACAGGGAGACTAGAACTGATTGCAGTATTCCAAAAGTGGCCAAACCAATGTCCTGTATAGCCACAACATGATATCCCAACTCCATACTCAATGCACTGACCAAAAAGACAAGGGTACTAAACGCATTATTCACTATCCTGTCTACCCATGACATGCAGAAACCTGCACCTCAAGGTCTCTGTTTGGCAACACTCCCCAGGACCCTACCATCAAGTGTGTAAGCCCTGCCCTGATTTGCCTTGCCAAAATGCAACACCTCACATTTATCTAAATTAAACTCCACCTGCCACTATCTGCCTATCTGATCAAGTTCCCATTGTACTCTGAGAACCTTCTTCACTGTCTACCACACCACCAATTTGGTGTCATCTGCAAACTTAGCGACCATTCCTCCTGTATACACAACCAAATTATTTATATAAATGACAAAAAGCCATTGTCCCAGCACTGATCTTTGTGGCACAGCAATGGTCACAGGCCTCTAGCCTGAAAAACCACTCTCCTCCATCACCCTCTGTCTCCTACCTCAAAGCCAAAGTTCTTTTTTTCTCTTAAAAAGAAAGAGACAAGTAAAGTACAATAATAGATTGATGTTTAACTTAAAAGGAAATCAAGAAATATTTCATAAATTTGTGAATCATAAAAGGCTTATGACATGAAGAATGGGCCTAATTGAGGAGCAAAAGAATATCTTGCTGCAAAGTGCATAGTTCAGCTAGTAAATGTTTAAGTTGTATGTCTACAGAAGAGGATGTTGCCAATATAGCAGTGTAGGAAGAAGTAGTAGTAAATATTGGGTAGGATAAAAATAGGTAATGAGATCGTTCAAAAGCTAGCAGTCCTTTAAAATGGAAAGGTCATCTGGCCTGAATATGATGCATCTTGGGTTCCTGAGGGAAGTGTGGGTAGTAATGGCCCAAGATGATTTTCATCTGGTACTTGGTTGGTGCCAGAGGACTGGAGGATTGTAGAGTTAAATACTAAAGGAGAGAGGGGTAAACCTGGCCTCAAATAGTTATGACAATGACAGGGGAATGGGATCAATTGGATAGGCCTACCCAAGAGTCTGACAGAACTGCAATCAGCAGAATGGCAGTCTATACTATATCATTCCATATTTCTGTGAATAATAACAAATAAAATGAAATACTAGATTGTACACTTGCATGTAAGCAATAAATATATTTATTACATACATTGTTAATGATGCTAAAATAAATGATGTTATTTGAAAGATGCCTCAAGATTTTAGTGAGCAGTCATTTTCCAACCAATTTACAACCAGGTTCAACAATTGGAATGCTTCTAAAATGATCTATTGCCAAATTGGTGAAGTTAAAGTCAAAAGGAAGTTGATTAAATTGTGATGTACTGTCTCAAACACTGTTAAATTCTTAGCAAAGAGAAACCATGGTGATTCATGTATGTTATTTTGCAAGATTCAAGTTAACTTGCAAGGTAACGGTGAATAAGGATGCAGTTTTGAGCCAGTATAAAGCAAATTTGGAGCTAACTTGTTGGAAACAAATGCATATTTATGAACAAGTAGACTTTTGGATAGTGTAGCAGGTGAAAAAAAAACAGAACTTTCATTTAGGGGTTTAGAAAAATGGTGCTGCAAGGTGTTGGGGGAAGAATTGTAGAATTTACGAAGATGATTTGAAAATCCTTTTCGATTTATACCTGTCTTAAGTTTTATGTTAGGCATGGTTAACAACTCTGTGCTGAATCTCGAGATTGACAGAATCACTGCATTGGAAGTCATAGTCATCTCTGCCATATCTCCCTCCTTCTTCTTGGTAAAGAAAACATCTAGTTCCGTGACTTTGATTATGGAAACCATTTTGTGTATGATTTCTGCACAATTGTACACTAAGGAAGATGAGAGTGAATTATTCATAACCTGAGTTCGTTTGTGTTTTGCTGAGTTAATTTGTGTTTATGCATTTTATTTTCTGTAGGTGACTGGTGCATATTCTAAAACCTGGTCATACAGAGAAGATACTTTACTGGCTGTGTATAAAAAGCTTTCCATGATTCCTGAAGGCACACCCAAGGATGAAGTAAAGAATATGTTGAAAGCAGCAATCTTCCTCATTCGTAGAGCTATGAAGGACAAAGTGTCATCTGTAAGTACTGCAGATCTGGATATGTTCTGTTTTCTTAAACTATCTATTTTGGCCAGTAGACACTTGCTGTCTCTCCTGCTGTCACTCTCTCATTCTACTTAGGTGCTGAACACTCTCGCTCTGACACACACTCCCATTCTGTTTATCGCTGAATATTATTTTTAAATTTAGACATAAGTAGTTGCTTACCTGTTGACACCTGCATCAAGTTTACTCTGTCAGGAATCGCTTGCCGGAACAGTGGTTTGAAGCAGGAATGTAACTGGTGTTGTATCTTAGTTTAAGCTTGTGTTTCATTAATTTGTGTTCAAGTAAACACTTATTGGAATTCTTATTTCAGACCATGATTTTCAGAAGCTGTGAGACCTATGTGGCAGATGTTTTTCACTGAAATATGCAGGTAGATTAATCTAAAAACCAGTGGGAAACTATTCGAGTAAAATTTTGGTTTATGAGCCACTTGAATATACAAAATATGTGCTCTGATGCATGTGGTGAGATGAAAACTGATACCAAGCAAGAAAGGAGGCATCACCAGAGGTGGCATTGAAGAACTGGATTTAACCTCGTCTTTCCAAAATGGTATGGGAGGAAATTTTAAAGAATTAAACTGTGATGATTGGAACCTCTGCCACTTATTCAATAGATGTTGGAGTGGAGAGGATGCTTATAAGGCCAGAGTTGATATTACAGAGAATTTAGGAAAAGATCCTGTGCTGGAGGGGTTTACAAAGTACATTGCAGCAACGTGGCCATGTAGGTATTTATAGGTGAAAGCAAGATCTTGAATTGTAGTAGTTATGAGGCTCTGGTAGATACAAAGTAATCTGCATGAAATAAAATATGAACTCTTTCAGTAGCAGCAAATTATAGTTTGTTTGCCAAGATATTAGTTTTGATGAAACCACTACACTGACCAAAATTAGACATTGTAATAATGTTAAAGACTAAGTAAGCTTTTAAATCAGTAACACTTCAAGCCACCAAGGCATGTGTCAACTGAGACTCTAGAATTGAATCTTTCCAGGTATTTGTTTTCCTTAGTCCTCAGCTCTATCTCTGATATTTAAGATCACATTGGAGAGTGATGCATTCAGGTGCTAGAAGGTTTCCTTCATGCAGTCAACTTGTAAAGGCTGTGGTATTTGTTACAAGATAGGTACAGATCTTGCACTAAAGCAGTACTCTGATGCACATTTGTACTTTGTGGACAAAGAGGGGCTCTGAGATTGAGGTCTCACCCCCACTTTGCCCGCCAACACTTAACAGACAGTAAGCCCTAAGAGTAGAAGTAGGGCCTATCAAGTCTGCACTGCCATTCAATGAACTAATGATCTCCACCTCCACTTTCTTGCTTTCTTCCCCCTTACACTTGATTCCTTTACTGGTTAAAAATCTATCTCGGCTTTCAATATACATAAAAACCAATTTTTTTTTCAATTCTCCTAGTGCCTGTGTGTAGCACAAACAGTGCAGTGCATCCATTGAGCGGAAGTCAATGGCAGTTTTTTCACTGTGTGTTTATTAAGTATGAAGAGTGTCCTTTGTTATTTGACAGTTTCAAACTGGTGAAGAAATTGATTGCACAGCTTAGAAGGAGAAGGATCTGTTTGGTGGTGGCGCTATGTACACCATGTATAGAACGTGTCCAGAAGATGGCATATGCAATTTTTTGACTGCTTTGGCAATTTTTTGTACCCAATTATTTGCTGCTCAATGATTGTATCCTGCATCCAGGCTGATATCTAGAAGTAGACAAAATGAAATACATTTCTTGGTCTATGTCAAGTTAACATAAGAATCAATTTTTGGCATTCGACTTAATTGAGTTCGTCAGGTTAAATCCACACTCTCAGCACTTGATGCCTGAAATGTTGCACAAATGCCTAGATGAGTAGATCTCTTGAAACTGGTCATCTTATAGGCCAAAGTCCACATGTCACTGTTTGAATGGAACCCATCTTGACTTTTTCCAGAATACATTTGAAATTGGAGTTTTGTTCACAAACGTTTCTGGTCATACACTCGTCATAATTGATATGAGTGGAATATTTCAATGTTAGTTGCACAACATTGTCTTTGCCAAATTTATAAACAGTTGTGTTTGGTGATTACAGCCAAATTGCAAAGCACTTGAGTAATTTCTCTTCTGGAAATCTGCTTTCCAGGTGGTCAAATAGCAGCTGATTACATTGAAGGATTGCAGCAATGTCAAAATCACTATTTACAGCAGTCAGAACTACCTTAGGTTTACCATTCCAATAAATACATTAACCGAGATACAGAATCTTCTGTTTATTAATCTTGGCCTTTGAAAAATGCAATACTTCAATCGTTGTCAAGCAGCTTCTCTAAGAATTTGCACATTAATGCTAGTTCACCTTGAATATCATTCAAAACTATGAATGCAATGCAATATAGTGGCTTTGTTAGCATTTTAAGGCAATATTTGTTGATTGGATTGTTGCACTTCCTCACTTGCCTTGTTCACTAGTTGATTGAGACATTGTAGTTTTATGTTATTCACTTAGTGCAAAATGTCTTGACAGACAATTCACTTCACTTCAGAGGTCAAAACTGCCACTCCATCACACTCTGTGACTTTGGCAGGTTCTTCATATTGTCTTCTGTTCACAGTGGACCTGCTGAACATAGTAGACACTATTTTAGAGTCATACAGCACAAAAACGGACCCTTTGGTCCAACTAGTCCATGCCGAACATAATCTCAAACTAAACCAGTCCCACCTGCCTGCTCCTGGCCCCTATCCCTCCAAACCTTTCCTGTTCATGTATCTATCCAAATGTCTTTTAAACAATGTAATTGTACACGCACCGACCACTTCCTCAGGAATTTCATTTCACACGTGAACCACCCTCTGTATAAAAAAAAAAATTGCCTCATGTCTTTCTATTAAATCTCTCTCCCCTCACCTTAAAAATGTGCCCCTCTAGTCTTGAAATACCCCATCCTAGGGAAAAGACAACTATTATTAACTCTATCTAAACCTCTCATTATCTTATAAACTCCTATCAGGTCACCTCTCAACCTCCTATGCTCCAGTGAAAAAAGTCCGTCCTGTCCTAATAACTCCAGCCTTCCATACTCAGCAACATTCTGGAGAATCTCCTCTGAACCCTCTCCAGCTTAATAATATCCTTCCTATAACTGGGCGACCAGAACTGCACATAATATTCCAGAAAAGGCCTCACCATTGTCCTGTACAACCTCAAGATGACTTCCCAACTCCTGTACTCAATGGTCTAAGCAATGAAGGCAAGCATGCTAAATGCCTTTTTTAATCACCCTTTTGAAATGTAATGCAAACTTCAAAGAATAATGCACCTGCACCCCTCAGACCCTCTGTTCTACAACACTACCCAAGGCCCTACTATTAATTGTATAAGCCCTACCCTTATTTGTTGCATCAAAATGCAATACCTCGCATTTATCTGGATTGAACTCCATCTGCCATTTTTCAACTCGTTGGCTCATTTGATCAAGATCCCTCTGTAATCTTAGAAAACCTGCTTCACTGTCTAATATGCCACCAATTTTGGTGTTGTTTTCAAATTTGCTAACCATGCTTTCTATATTTTCATCTAAATCATTTTATATAAACGACAAACAAAAAAGGACCCAGAACCAACCCCTGTGGAACACTGCTTGGTCACAGGTTTCCAGTCCAAAAAGCAACCCTCCACTATTACTCACTGTCTCCTGCTGTTAAACCAATTATGTATCCAGTTGGCAAGCTCACCCTGAATCCCATGTGACCTAACTTTACTAATTAGTCTACCATGTGGAACCTTGTCACAAAGGCTTGACTAAGATCCAAATAAACAACATCTACTGCTTGGCATCATCAAACTTTTTGGTAACTTCCTCAAAAAACTGAATCAAGTTTGTGAGACAGATTTTCCTCGCACAAAACCATGCTGACGATCTCTAATCAATTTTTGCCTCTCTAAATGTCCATAAATCCTATCTTTTATACCCACAACCGAAGTCAGACTCGCAGGTCTGTAGTTCCTCGGTTTCACCTTCCTTTCTTAAACAAAGGAACAACGCTAGACACCCTCCAGATCATCAGGCACCTCACAAGTAGTTATGGATGATGAAAATATTTCTGCAAGGTATCTTGTGAATTCCTCCCTTACTTCCCACAACATTCTGGGATACATTAGATCAGGTCCCGGAGACTTATCCACCTTTATATTCTGTAAGACCTTCTGAACTTCCTCTTCTGTAACGTGAACTGTTTTTAAAACATCAAAGTTTATTTCTCTGCATTCTCTAGACTTCATTTCTTTATCACAGTAAAAACTGACACAAACTATTCATTTAGTATCTCTCCCACCTCCTAGGGTTCAACACGAAGACGACCTCCTTGATCTTTAAGAGGCCACACCCTCCCTCTAGTTACCCTCTTGCCCTTAATGTATTTGTAGAATCTCTTTGGATTATCCTTAAACTTATCTGCCAATGCTATCTCATATCCCCTCTTTGCCTTCCTGATTTCTCTCTTAATAATGTCCCTACATTCTTTATATTGATCAAGAGATTCAATTGAACCAAGTTGTTTATATCGAAAGTAGGATTCTCTTTTATTCTTGACGAGAACCTCAATATCTTTATTCATTCATTGTTCCTTAATCTTACCAGCCTTACCCCTCACTCTAACAGGAACAAAATGCCTCTGATCTCTCGTCATCACATGCTTGAACACCTCCCACTTGTCACACATCATTTTACCTGTGAACAGTCTACTCCAGTCAACTTTTGAAAGTTCTTGTCTCATTCCATTAAAATTTGCCTTACTCCAATTAAAAACTGTAACTTTTATGGAAGGCTTATCCATTTCCATAACCATTCTGAAAGTGATAGAATTATGATCACTAGATGCCAAGTGCTCCCCCGCTTTTACTTCAGTCACCTGCCCTGCCTTGTTGCCCAAAAGAAGGTCTAGTTTAGCTCCTTCTGTAGTTGGAGCATGCACA